GGCGATTTTCTCAGTATTTTGATTTTTTTGCACCCTCAGATTACAGATTTTCAAATAGTTGTATCTCAGCCAAATATTGTCCTATCCTAACAAACCTATTTATTCAGCTTTCACATGATGTATAAATCTCAATTTCGAAAAATTGACCCTTATGACTGGTTTTGTGGTCCAGGGTCACATATATAAATAACTTACAATGATTATATCATTCATATCAATATTTATTCATATAATTAGTAGTAATAATAATAATAATAATGGAGGGTGAGGTGAGGGAATGTGCTTAATTGTCATGAAACAATCAGAAAATAGGTTTTATTTTCTTCGTGCACAATAAAATGTATATATTTTTCATTTAATTTTGGGGTAAAATATTACTCGGATATCGACTTTGTGTGATTCATCCGGCTGGCTATGCTATAGCACAGTCCTTTGGGCATTCAGTCAGATAATATTTCTCCAGCTCTCAAAGCTGACAGCCCCTCTACTTACTATTGTCTGCTGTCTTGTATGATCGTCAGGTTGGATTGACACTTTTAAGCCTGATATAGCCCACCTCTCTTGCTTTCAACATTTGCAGGTAGATATTTCAGAGAGATGCAGTGCTTATAGACAGTAAGCATAACGAGTAAAAAGACTGTCCCAGTTCATTGGGAAACACACTGAATGCAGGAGTATTTTACCAGTGGACTGGATAATTTACTGCTCCGTTAATTTGCAGGACAAATACTGCTTCATATTACACCACTAAAGAATAAAATACCCTTATTCTGTCCTGAGAAGCAATGAATAAGTGACTGTCATTTATGTAGATGCCATGTGATTATATAATAAGCTCAGGACATCAGAAAACAATCCTCGTGCATTGTTTTATCTCTCTGAGTCGGTCACAGATGCCGATCGGTAGATGCGATTGTTCAGCTCTCTTACTTCTAACTAGCCCTTGTCCTGACCTTGACCGGCGCTGCTGAGACTGAACAGAGCAGATCCCCCTGCTGACTTCATACAATAATGACCTACAATAATATTTACCTCATTCAATATGCTGAATGCAATCCAGGATCATGCCACAGCTCACAATCAGAATCATGATGTAAAAACATTCAGGTAATATTACAGGAAAATGTGTGTAGTTCTATTTAAAAATGGCTTGATATGTCCAAGATGCTATATGTGGAACATGGATAGGTCAAAATTATGAAGAGATGGCATATTTAAGACATTTTTTTCATCACATCCTGTCGGGTAACTTCCTGTTTTATTATCTAGAAATGAAGGGCTGCGTTTGGAATGAAGCGGAATATTAGCATACTGCATACTACATACTGTGTAAACCTCATTACATTGCATGTTAATTCAGCAAGTAATCATTTTGGAAATAAAAATGCTTATTTTTGCATTTTAAACAGAAATCCGTCTTAAGATTTATCAGTCTGTCAAAATAATAAATCAAGGAGATGACAAACATCACAGCTGATATTTCATGTACTAAATCCTGCATTGAGGGATTCAGCGTCCTGTTCTTTGTGGTGTTTTATATTGCACATTTTGGCAAAACATCTGCATTTTTCATGCACACTGCACTGGGGTATACTAGTATGCATAGTATGGTAGTATGCTATTTTGAACACAGCCCAACGTTACCTGCTAACCTGAGCCTGCAATCTGTTTCCATGGTTACCCGTTCATTTGTGACGGTGACACTCTCACGGAAGGAGTTTTATGTTTTAAATGTGTCTTGTTTTTGGTTAGATTGCTGTAAATATTCTAGAGTCAGGATCACCATGCTGTGTCCTTTCTGTTGAGTATGTTATTGAGATTAATATGTAATTTTAAAAGAAATAATATAATAATAATGTTGACGATAACAATCTTACAACCAAAAGCCAACTGTGATGGGGTGAAAAGATATAAATAGCTTTGAATTAGTATTTGTATCTTTCCTTCATCTGCTTTACATTGGTATACATCTGTTGTTGGATGTGTGGTCACCATGTGCGGAATAACATGCAATCGCTGGCGTTCTAACAGATCCGTCAGATCTTCACTCACAAACAGACATGCATCGAATGCTCAAAAACTCATTCATCATTGAAGTGAATGGGTCAAATCAGCAATTTTGTCTCATTTATGAACAAATATCAATCAGAGCTCTAAATCCTTAGTAATGACAGTTACATTACATTTTTGTGTGTGTTCATACAGTAAATGAATATCTTAAATATTTTAGCCTTCACTTTAGCAATTTGTAGTGACAAATTGGCTGTGAAACCCCTAACACATTCAGGCAGAGCATCTAATACTTCTTGATTACTTAAGCTTGGGTAGCTGAAACACAATTACAAGAAATACAAAGTTCTGGACTAAAACGTACATAATTCAGTCCTTCACTGTATAACGGAAACAGCTTCAGTATGACAAAACTATGTATCTTGTATCTTTAAAAATGACAACTTGTAAAGAAAAAATCAAAAACAATCTCACTGCCTTGTCATGGATTTGGTCTTATGAATAAAATACTATATGCTTGATGTCACCAAAGTGTTTCTGAGCAGTGTTATTTTAGATACTATTACAGTTTTTTTAATTAATATATTGAATTGATAATTGATCAAAAATATTGTATTAATATTTTGAAATTATTAAGTTTTTATATTATTTTTTATATTTTATATTTAATTTTAACGTTTTAGTCATTGTGTTGTTTTGTTATTTCTAAAAGATGTTTGTATAGTTTTTTTATTAATTTTTGTTTGTTTTTTAGTTTTATTTATTTTGGTACACCAATTTTTTTCAAGTAACATTATATATTTTATTTTAGTATTTATTTTTTAGATTCAGTTAACTACTGTATAATAACCCTGCTTTTGAGTTTGCTTGGCAAAGGTGACACTTCGCCTCTTTGTGGGACTGATGCTGGTGGATGTCAACTCTGTAAGTTCTCTGTGTCATGTTTGTCATCTACATTTGAGGCTGTCCATAAACTGCAAATGTTAAAATAATGTGAAATTAAAATAATCTACTTCTCAATTAAAATGCTAAAAAACACAAAATCAAGTTTCTTTTTCTCCTCAACTATTGTTTTATTTAAGAACATACAGTGCTTAACTTCTAGAATTACAAAATGAATCATTATTAATGAATGTAATATCTCATATATTTAATAGATCAATATTTTTGGTGGGGTAGGGCGTTCAAATATTATGAAGGGCCTTGGAGCTGAAAAGAATAAAAATCACTGCCCTAGTAAAAAAAAAAAGAGCTTTTTAATTTGCACTGTTTAATTTCTACCATGCAAATATAATGTGATAATATACATATTTAATTAGTATATTAATATACGCATTTTTCTATACTCTCTAATAAATGGGTTGCCATTCAGCTAGTTCAGCCTTGTATACTGTACGATTGACGAGGAGGAATAACTCAAGACCTGTGTTCTTTCTTTTATTTCTAAATATCACTCCATAATTAAGATTCAGTGTTAAACGCAGACTGATATTGAATGGATCTCAAAAGACAGTATGACATAAACATTCATACATTTGTGCTTAACAATAAACACCTTTCATAACTGTAAAACTCCTCTATTCCCTTTGAAACAAGTCACTGTAAACAGCCTATTATTATATCAGTGAACTAGTCAGAGCCACATTTTGGTCTGCAAACTGAGAGATGAGTGAGAAAATTAATAACTGTAACACTGTATTTTTTATAAAATCTATTCATTTGTTTTCCTTCAACAAAGAACCTCTGACATAAAAGACATTTTTACAAAAAACAAACAAATATTATATATATATATATATATATATAATCAGTAAATTAGAATGATTTCTGAATGATCCTGTGACACTGAAGACTGGAGTAACGATGCTCAAAATTCAGCTTTGCATCACAGTAATAAATGACATTTTTAAGTATTAATAGAAAAATAATATTTTTTCCTGTATTGTTGTTAAAATAAATGCAGCCTTGGTGAACACAAAAGACTTCTGTGAAAATCATGTTTTACTAATCTTACTGACCCCAAACTTGTGAAAAATAATGAATGTATAACTGTAATTGTTTATGTAAATATATTTCACTTTTGATAATTTTTTCTCTTACTGGTCCGTAATTCAACAGGATGTTTGTCATGTCGACCCCGTCCAGTTGAACATCAGGTAACGCAGCTCCAGCCAGTTTGGCAAAGGTGGGCAGAATGTCCAAAGAGCTGGCCAGAGCACGGGTCACACCTTTGAATGATGGGAACATATACATTAAATCCACATTGTATATTTCTTGCTGCTGGATTCAGACGCAGGACTGTTTATCTCTGAGCACCTGGTTGGATGGATCCAGGCCAATATGCGATGGCCGGCTCTCTCATTCCTCCTTCATAAGTCGTGCCTTTGCCACATTTCATCAGTCCTGCGTTTCCCCCACGAGACTTCCGCATGAGCTCTGGCCTGGGAATGCACACAAATATAGATGTTAAGGCAAATGGAAAAACACAAAGCATGGACTAAGGAGAAACACTTACCCGTTGTCACCAGTGAAGAAGATGAGAGTGTTGTTGATCACACCCGTCTCCTCCAGAGTTTGCAGAATCTTCCCCACAGTGCCATCAAACTCCATCAGAGAGTCACCGAACGGCCCACGGGGAGACTTCCCTGCATAGTCTGCACCTGCATACTGAGGGTAGTGTGTGTGCTGGAGAGACCAGGCAAAAACTCATTAAGATCATAACATTCTGATAAAAGTAAAACTCCCATTTATTTTAAAATACATTTTGTAAATCTTTCAAGAAAGACCTACCATGCGCTCTGAGATTGTTGAATGATGCTAAACAGTATAGAAACCTTTAGAAAATCAGTGCGGTTTCCACTTTTGATTTTAATTGTATTTAAATTTAAAATGGAAAAAAAAAAAAGTAATTAATCTTTATCATTTATTTAAATATTTAAATCATTATTTATTCATCTGAATTATTTAGCTCATTATTATTTAATTCATAATTATTTAGTTTAGTTCAAGTCCAATTATCAGTGAAGAACTACACTTCCCACAATCCTCTTTGGCTCATCCAATCAGAAAAGTCACTGTTACCAAGGAAATGGGAACTGTGCCAAAAGAAGTAATCAGACACTCCCATGAAGCATTGCGAATGACATAATCAAGTCCTCCCTACACTCCCAAACAACTTATATTTTAATGTTTTGCAATAAATAAATAATCAAATATATATATATATATATACAGTGGTGTGAAAAAGTGTTGGCCCCCTTCCTGATTTCTTATTTTTTTGCATGTTTGTCACACTTTAATGTTTCAGATCATCAAACAAATTTAAATATTAGTCAAAGATAACACAAGTAAACACAACATGCAGTTTTTAAATGAAGGTTTTTATTATTAAGGGAAAACAAAATCCAAAACTACATGGCCCTGTGTGAAAAAGTGTTTGCCCCCTAAACCTAATAACTGGTTGGGCCACCCTTAGCAGCAACAACTGCAATCAAGCGTTTGCGATAACTTGCAATGAGTCTGTTACAGCGCTGTGGAGGAACTTTGGTCCACTCATCTGTGCAGAATTGTTGTAATTCAGCCACATTGGAGGGTTTTAGAGCATGAACCGCCTGTTTAAGGTCATGCCACAGCATCTCAACAGGATTCAGGTCAGGACTTTGACTAGGCCACTCCAAAGTCTTCATTTTGTTTTTCATCAGCCATTCAGAGGTGGACTTGCTGGTGTGTTTTGGATCATTGTCCTGCTGCAGAACCCAAGTTCGCTTCAGCTTGAGGTCACGAACAGATGGCCGGACATTCTCCTTCAGGATTTTTTGGTAAACAGCAGAATTCATGGTTCCATTTATCACAGCAAGTCTTCCAGGTCCTGAAGCAGCAAAACAGCCCCAGACCATCACACTACCACCACCATATTTTACTGTTGGTATGATGTTCTTTTTCTGAAATGCAGTGTTACTTTTACGCCAGACGTAATGGGACACACACCTTCCAAAAAGTTCAACTTTTGTCTCGTCAGTCCACAGAGTATTTTCCCAAAAGTCTTGGGGATCATCAAGATGTTTTCTGGCAAAACTGAGACGAGCCTTTGTTCTTTTTGCTCAGCAGCGGTTTTCGTCTTGGAACTCTGCCATGCAGACCATTTTTGCCCAGTCTCTTTCTTATGGTGGAGTCATGAACACTGACCTTAACTGAGGCAAGTGAGGCCTGCAGTTCTTTGGATGTTGTTGTGGGGTCTTTTGTGACCTCTTGGATGAGTCGTCGCTGTGCTCTTGGGGTAATTTTGGTCGGCCGGCCACTCCTGGGAAGGTTCTCCACTGTTCCATGTTTTTGCCATTTGTGAATAATGGCTCTCACTGTGGTTCGCTGGAGTCCCAAAGCTTTAGAAATGGCTTTATAACCTTTTCCAGACTGATAGATCTCAATTACTTTCTTTCTCATTTGTTTCTGAATTTCTTTGGATCTCGGCATGATGTCTAGCTTTTGAGGATCTTTTGGTCTACTTCACTTTGTCAGGCAGGTCCTATTTAAGAGATTTCTTGATTGCGAACAGGTGTGGCAGTAATCAGGCCTGGGTGTGGCTAGAGAAATTGAACTCAGGTGTGATAAACCACAGTTTTAACAGGGGGGCAAACACTTCTTCACACAGGGCCATGTAGTTTTGGATTTTGTTTTCCCTTAATAATAAAAACCTTCATTTAAAAACTGCATGTTGTGTTCACTTGTGTTATCTTTTACTAATATTTAAATTTGTTTGATGATCTGAAACATTAAAGTGTGACAAACATGCAAAAAAAATAAGAAATCAGGAAGGGGGCCAACACTTTTTCACACCACTGTATATAAGATAAATAGTGACTCGTGTCCTAGAAATTAATCAATGAATTAATTAATATATGAATTTAATGAAGTATTGTATGCTCTGTTAAGGGACTCACTTGTATTGTGCATTACATTTGTTATTATGCTTACAGATTGAGAAATGTCCGATGCTGTCTCGTGGCCAGACAAACTTGCTTGGAGGTGTGCTGAAATGCATCTGTGGTTTTCACACTCCAAAGGTAACATTAATGTAGCAAGTATTTTTTGTTAGTATTATTTACTGAAATGGTTTTCTTTCTGAATTGTTACATGTATTTTTTTTGGGCTGTCTTAAACAGCCAACTGCCAGCCCTACTGGACCAGCACAAAGGGTGGTGGAACAACCTGCTGCTGCTGCTGGAACAGCTTATTATTTATAAATAATATTTACAATTTCTTAATAAAATATTTTAAAATAAATAAAAATAAAAAATGGGAAACTGGAAGGTGATTCAAAAATTCTCAAAAGCAGGTGTACAAATGAATGCATGAATATAAATGAAAGTATACTGGATAACAGGTGGATTTGGTTTTACTTTTCTCAAGAAACAAAAATGATGCATTTGGTTTTACCTGGAGGGGCTGCACACGGAACTCGTGACGTAGAAGTCGGTAAAACGCAGCCCGCGCGCCGCCAGTCGGTCTAAATTCGGGGTGAGAGAGCTCGGGTGTCCGAAACACCCCAGATCACCGTAACCCAAATCATCGGCGAACAGCAGCACAAAGTTCGGCGGCGTTGCTCGCGCACACTGAGCTGTGATCAGTGCAAACAACGCGATTACACTCAGTAAATCCATAATCTGACACGCAGTTTACAAAATCTTAAACATTTCTGAAAACGTTATTTAGGTAGCATGAAAGTTCCTGCTCTGTTCCGCTTTGTTATCAGCCTCAGTTCCTTCCTTTGCCCTCAGTTTATTGCTGTCATTCACATCTCGCTGGAGTCTTTCATGTTTTGTCCTTGTGGATCATGTGATCACCGACACGCGGTCAGGGGGCTGATGGGATATGTGGTTTATTATCCAGAGACGGCGTACATGTGCACCATGAAGTTCGGTTTGAATAATTGTTTCGTGTGGATTATGATATTTTATTTTATTTTATTTGAGCAACAACATCTACAAAATTCTTCAAAACTTCTCAATTTGTGTTCCACTGAAAAGAACGGCGTCCGCAGCAACATGATGGTGAGTAAATATCAATATTATTTCCATATTTGTGCGAGCTATGCTTCAGTTTAAAGGCACAATATGTAAGTTTTTTTAAATTAAAATATCCAAAAACCACTAGAACAGTGTTATATATTTTGCTGACTTGTGCACTTAGGCTACATTATCCCAAATGTTTCGAAGACTATTTAAATCCAGAGAAATAAGCAATTTTAACTAGTGACACGGAAATTAATGAGGAAAAAATATATATCTTTAAAAATCAGTAACAAAAAAAAACTAATAATAGGCTAACTAATAAAGTTGGGCATTAATGCAAATGGAAAAATCAAGCGTTTATCAAAGGGAATAATTTAAAATGGTATGCTTATCTATTTTTTCAATGTGTTAAAGAAATTAAATAGTTTTTGAGAAATACAGTGCGGTCCAAAAGTTTGAGACCCCATAGTAAAATGCCTTTATTTTGCATTCTTTACTAAGTTTATATAGATTTTGTCATTATGATTATATCGTCAATATCATATCAACAATTTTTGTGAAAAATCTAATTCATTTTTAATAATGATTTCAGAATTTATTAGTATTTTATTAGGCCATAAGTCACCTTTTTGCATTAATGAAAGCAGCACTCAAAATTATATGAAGGAAATATGGTAATAATGTTTCTAAGAACGTGGAGTTGACAATGTCAAAGTCATACATTTATTTAGCCTACTAAGTCCTATGGATGTATGGTCTCAGTGTTTTTGACACAATTAATTAATTAATTAATTAATTGAATTCATTTCATTGTTATGCTTGACCAATGGCAGGTGATTAATCTGGCATAATCTTCAGCGTGGTGTTGGGCTATCTGCAGTCTTCTGTGGATGTTTTAAAAGCATTTCATTGTCAACAAGGGTTGCTCCTGCTGTGTAGATGCACATAGGACTCAAACTGTATTTTGAGAGCAAAATACTGCTATGCAAATGTCCAATCTCACTAGAAATGGCCATCTGTTTGCAGTTCAGCCCTCTGCCACTGTAGGTCACTGTTTCATAAACGCTGGAGCTCTAGTCTCACAGCACACTGGAGCTGCAGCGATTGATGGCTTCGATCATTAATCTCTCATTAGAGGCAGTGAGAGCAGGGGTGCAGTGTCCGGCCGCAGTCCTTTACATCGGCCTGTGCTTGCTTTGCTTGTGCTACAACGTGACAATCAGTCAATTAAATGAATGGGGGATCAAATAGATTGCTCCACTAGCTGGAGGAGGTGAACGTCAGTGCCGATTTTCAGGGAGAGAAGGAAATCTAGCATGCTCTGCATTCGAATTGCACTGCCTTCACAGTAGTGTTGTTTTTGGCGGCCTGTTTTAATTTTAGTTTTAGTCTAGTCTTTGTGTGAAACTGTCATTTTAGTTTTTATTAGTTTTAGTCACGTTCATACTCTTTTTAGTGATAAAGGTTCGTTGACGACGACATTTAGTCATAATTTTCGTTGACCAAAGCAACACTACTTCACAGTTCACACGCACAGAAGTGAGAGATGGGAGGTACCCCTTACCTGAAGAAGATTTCAGTGCAGGAATAAGAAATATTACATGATCAATATGCTTGAATTAGGAAATGCCAAAAATGTGCAGACTTGAGGAATTAATTAACATAATGGTCTCTGTTCAAAGCATTTCATGTATACTACACTCTAAAAAATGCTGGGTTAAATACAACCCAGTGCTGGGTAAAACAGGGACAAACCCAGCAATTGGGTTGTTTTGACCCAGCGGAACCCCATTTAGAGTGTAAGATTTATTATGCATGAACCCTCACTCTTTCGAGAACACTAAATCAGTGTTTCTTAACCATGCACGGGGCCGGGGCCCACTACGGGCTCTCAGCAAATTTCCAAGGGGGCTGCAGGATGATTTAAAAGTATTGAAATTAATAAATTATTATTAATATATTAATCAAATTAAAATGTATCTCTAATATGAAATTAACATGCTAAAAACACATAACATCTTTCTTATTTCCATTAATATCTATTTATTTGACTGAAGAACATACAGAACTTCTAGGATCACAATCATGATTCATGATTAATTCATTTAATATATCAATATATTTTTGGAGGCTAAGGGCCTTTGAATATTGTGTTGGACAACAGAGGGATTTCAAGTGGAAAAAGGTTGAAAACCACTGCACTAAATGGTTCAATTAAAACTGAATCAAATAATAAATCACCCTTCATTGTCAACCTTTAGACTCATTGAGGAGAGTTGTACTGTTGCTTTTCAGTATTCAGATGTCTTTTGGTTGGTGCACAGTTTAAATTGGAGGAACCCGAGAAATAGAGACCAGAATATCATTACCATCTACCACTGTGTTTGACCAAAAATACTGTAAAAGCAGTAATATTGTGAAATATTACTACAAATTAGAATAGATGTTTTCTATTTGAATTTATCTTAAAATTTAATTTATTCCTGTGATGCAAATCCGAATTTTCAGCATCATTACTCTTCAGTGTCACATGATCCTTCAGAAATCATTCTAATATGCTGATTTGCTGCTCAAGAAACATTTCTTATTAGCACAGTGTGCTTAATATATTTTTGTGGAAACTATAATAATTTTTTTTTTCTTATTCTTTGATTAATAGAAAGCATTGATAAATTGTTTTGATTCACCATTCACTTTCACATGCCCATTCAGAGATGACCTACATTCAGTTTGGCACGAGTGTGTGTGGTATTAGAGTAATGAAGGCAGGTGGAGAGAGAATGAGAGGAAAGGGAATGAGAAACCGTGAGATGCTCTAAAATGTCTCCCTTTTACCCTTTGTTGAAATATTCTCTCTCTCTCTCTCTTTTGCATGCCTGTTTGCTTCCATCCCAAGCTGTTTTTTTGTTTATTTATCATCTCCTGAAAAGACAATTATCTTTGCCCCAGTGACCGGCGGCCGTGTTAGATGACTTTAACTGAGTCTGGCTGCGTTCCTGCTGGCGGAGGCGGAGGAAGAGCAGGCCCTTACATCACGCCCGCATCGCCACCGATACATTTGGCACGCCGCATTGATTCTTAGGGCGTTAAATCCTGGCCGCAGTGTACAGTCAGCTTGGATACTTGAGGTAAAGGATGCTATCTCATCATCTCACCATATTACGTAGCCAAACTTCGGCCACTTGACTTCTTTCCTTCCAGGTCGTCGTTTGATCTCTGATTCCGTGTTAATGAGTTCGTTAAGTAATTGTGAGTAGAGCAAACCTGACCTTTTAAATTTGCTTTAAGTACTAAAATATGCCATTGCAAAGAAAGTCTTCACATTTCACCAATGCAGGAAGTGAAGATTTTGTAAAGATCAAAGATCAGCTGACGGTAATTTTCTGTAATGAGTCCATGTCTGGTACTTCAGCAGCCATTTGCATTGTGTGTTAGTGATTTAAACCTACTTTTGAGAGTATCCTGCAGACAGATGCTCATTAGTCTCGCAGAGCCAGGCTTTGACTTTCAGCATAATGTCTGGTGCACTTTGCAGCTTTAGTCTGGCCAAGAAGTGCCCACTTAAGAATCTGACTTGCATGTAAAATGATTGTAACGTAGGTCGGGAAGAAGGAGGCGGGAACCGGCAAACGCTCAAAGAAAACTTTAATAAAATAAACAAACACAAAATGACGACTGTCGCGCACAAACAAAACACAAAATAAAATCCAGGCCTGGTCCTCTCTTGTCCAACACTGTCGTCACTCCTCCTTTATCCTTCCGGAGCTTCTCCGTGAGACCAGTGAGTGGCGCAGGTGTGTGTAGACGACTGACGCACACAAAACACAAAATAAAATCCAGGCCTGGTCCTCTCTTGTCCAACACTGTCGTCACTCCTCCTTTATCCTTCCGGAGCTCCTCCGTGAGACCAGTGAGTGGCGCAGGTGTCGTGCATTAGCATTTACTCCACCGGCCTCGCTCCATTCCCACGGCTCTCGGCCCCGCCCCTCTCGTCACAATGATCAACCACAGTTTGTTTTTATTTATTTATTTTTAATATGATACTTAGGAGCAGGTAAACTTGAAATTGATGATGAATAGCATGGTAAATAGGACGGTAGTGTCTGCAAGTGATTGTATGGAAAACTTTTATTTATTCATTTATTTATTTTTTAAATTAACCTTAAATACACCAGGCAAGTCACTTAAGAACAAGTTCTTATTTTCAACAACAGCCTGACATTGTGTGGCAAAATTGTATAAAATATGTTTTCCATCTGAAAAAAAAAAGATTTTTTTTTTTCATTTATAAAATTAAATATCTTATAAATTGTTCAGTTTTTTTCTGTACAAGCTTTATAAGCAATGAGCTCTTAAGTATCAAAGATATTTATATATTTATTATCATCCAGTATATCATATAATATATCTATATGATCTGTATATATAAAACATTTAATAGATATTTTATTTGTTAAATAATTCAGATAATTCATATCATTTTTAAAATTGAATTTTAATTTAATTATTAAAATAATTGTAAAAAAATCTATCTATATATATACATTCTGTTCATAATGGTATTTGTAGCTTTTAAAATACATTTCAATACCTTTTTAAAATACAACGCTTAAAAACAGTATTGAAAAACAGTAAAAATGTATTTTGAAAACTAAAAATATTTCAAATAGTTTTTGACAATGTTTGTCAAGACCCCTGTTCCTTTTTGTTGTACTCCATTTAGGTGCTTTTGAACGTGCCTTATGTTAAACGCATCAAATCAGAGAGAGATGTACCAGAAACTGGCCTAAAATTGTACTGAGATTCTGACTGATTACTTG